CAAACTCAGCAACTGACGGCCATACGTTTGCAACTAAACAACACTGGGTTTACGTATTTGGAAGATGAAAAAACGCATGATGCTCATAGCTATATATCATTTGATGCTTTTCGAGATATACAAAATTTCAAAAACACTCTACCCAAATGCGAAACTTGAATGCGAAATAACCGCTATTTTATTGCATCGATATACATTTCGTTCACATTTAATTTCATTAAGCCCCTCGACTGACTTATTTACCGAGTCCTCTGCCTAGCAGTAACTTACATGCAGCACTGACTTTTATTATTGTCTGTTTTTTATGAGCTGGTACAAATAAACATTGCTCACCGTCTACGATAATATTCATCCTAATAGCTTCAATGTTGATCTCTTAAATATTTTGATGAGTTAGCCATTTTCCTATGTATATATATGCACATTTTATCCTTAATAATCCATTCACCAGTTTGCTCACCCGCTAGCTTGCTTGCACTTCCCTCTGTGTGCATGTGGTTTCTGGTCTATTTGTGGAGTGCCGTATAAGCGCATTCAACACATCATATTCGCTTTCTCATTTGTAAACTGCGGGGTGTTATTTAGTATCAGTTGTTTAGGCGAGCAGCTAACGAAATCTAAGAACAAGCTGCATACTGACACTGGCTGTCACACTTTCAGGTAGGACGTTCAGGGTCGTTAAACGAAAGACACGTTATTTTGATTACCAGCTGACTGAGGAAGATCGTTGCCAGCTCAAGTTCACATCTGTGTTGTCGCGCACGCACATTTTGTTTACTTACCACATAAAAGCGTAGAAATCGATCATATATTTGTAGACTATGAACGTTAAGAATACTGTTTAAGAATGGTTAGGTGCTTCAATTTGTTCCTTGTTGGAGCACCAGGCATATCTCAATTTTGTGATTTTCAGATTTCCCCTAGAAAATGTTTACAACTGTGATTGTGACAAATGATATGATAGTTTAATACCATTCATGAATAACGCTGTAGACTTTAAAAGGAGATGAAACTAGTAATATTAACCCTTTGCTTACAGTGAATTAATTAGTCTCGTGATTAGTGACAAAACAGCTCCGCCCCATACATAAGCAACAACAATAATATTTGTACACAAATAACTACGTTAAAAGAGGCATGCCAGTGTACAAGGCTAGATAAATTTTCAAAATCCTTACACATTCACTGCAAAAGCTATCACAGTTAAATTAAGTATAAGAGTCCGTCCTGATAGCACATTTACACCACGTCACTGAGAGAAACAGTTTGATATAGCCACATTTTCAACAGGAAAATACAAAATGGGAAGGTGCACAGTGGGTTTCTTGGGTGGTTTGCTTAGATCGATAGTGAATCTGTTGGCAAAGGTCTATTGGGACGCACTTGATACAAGCTGTAATCTAGACGTGCATGTTCCCTAAAGGCGCTATGGATTTTCCACAGTCAATAGGGTTCTAAAAAGGGAGAAAAGAGAGAGAGAATAAAAAGGCAGCATCGAGGCAAGTGTATATACATAACCAAAGCACTACTTAATCTGTCAAGTAGTCAAACAGTGGTAAGTCAAGACAAGACTAAAATTAAAGGATTTTATCGTTGATGGTGTATCTGATTGAATTTATTTACTACTATACGTTTGCACAATGTGACGGGACTGTTGCGAATAAAACGAAATAAACAAAATTGCGATTATTAACTCGTCAACGATACAGGGAAAATTCGAAATCAATAGTATCAAGTTACACGAGACAGGAGGCGGAATGGCGAAATATATTAACAGCCATTTAAAAGCCGACAGACTACACGGTACCCAACCAGCCGATGTGACAGACATGGCAGGAATTACTTCACTGGAGGAATTTATAGGCCCCATCGATTACTTGTTGGCAAATGATCAGCTCCTGGTCGGAGGGGTCATTGTCCAAACAAGAATCCAGAGAACCGACCATGGTGCAGTCATGCCTAACATGATCACAAATGAACTACTCACAGGGAAGCAAATTAGCCCTACCTTTGTTGCACAAAAGCGAAATACATGCACATGAGAGAGGAACACGCCTTACGGCCACGGGAATGAGGTAGGCTGTCAGTAGATGATCGCTGGTAAACAGTGGGAGTTTTCATCAAGAATGATGTCCTAGACAATATACCTCTATCACAGCACAACTTATCGATTCCTTACTGGACTCTAACACGGAAGAATGATCGAGTGTGCTATGAAATTAGTCTTCCTATCCATTTCCGTATATTATGCTTGGGCTAACCCCGTTCCTGCGACGGCGGTAGTAAGAAGCCAAATACGGTGTTGAGGAAGCATATATTTCATGAGTTCATTTATGCAGACAAACATGAGAATAGGATGCGTACAAGCAAAACGAGGCGAATAGGTGAAGGCGGGTGTGCCAGCTCTCCATGAGCTGAAGAATGGCTAAGTAATCACTGTCAAGCAATAACAGGCTAGACATGTAATAAGCAATAAAATATGCACACTCAATCAAACATACAATAATCGATACAGTAATCTAATTATTACAAATTCAAAATTATGGTCGATATAATTATAGAATAATTTAAAGGATTATTTATTAAAGTACAATCGATGAATGGTGAGATGCTACAGCATACCCGGGAACAGAAGAACAAGGGTGGCACTAAACGCTTGCTGCAGGCGAAGAGGGGATCCCAGCACAAGAGGAAGGTCTCCCTGAAGAATTCCGATCGTAGTGCTTGCTTGACAATGAGAAACCGATCTAATACCGAAAATCCAAGTGGTAGGAAACACTTTCAGATGAATCTTGCAGTCCAAATACAGGCAAACACTAGGCATCTGCTAAGCTTCATGACAAAAGAAAAGCTACGAATAAGGGTTTGTACTCTCAAACGTTCAAATGACGAAGATCTTATCAACCAACAAATGACTGAGATCATCATCAACTTCACGAATCAGTTAAACCGTAAATCCACATGTTCATAATACTACGCAAACCCAGTGCCAGCTGACGGCTTAGGGAATGTTCGACATACTCCTAATTAAGTAAAATAGAAACTAGAGTCCTGGCACCCAGGGAAGTCTCAGAATGTGGCAGTATTCATCCCAAAGTTTTAAAGAAGTGAACAGAAGCCGTCTGTTAACCGATATGTGATCTGTTTAGGCATTCCCTGGGGTCACACCAACTCCCAGTCTTTTACAGACCAGTCGCATTACTACCGATACTACCGAAGGTAATGGGAGGTTTGGTAAATGAGCAAATAATGGAGTATATAAATAAGAAGAAAATTTAAAACTGGTTTCGAAAAGGCAAGCCTTGCGCATCCAGTCTTCTCAAAGAATACAAAACCTTCTCAAAGCTAATAAACCTGCTCGGATCGAAAATCACCCATTCACATAATGTTTCTTCGCATTATTCCAAGCTTGCCTGATTGCAGAGGTTTCGGAAATGGACTTCATTGACCAACTTATTCGATGGCTCAGTAACTACCCTGAAGATATGAAATTTCACACAACATGGTAAACAGAGTGAAAGCGAGCTAGGGAGTCTGTCTCTACACCAGGGTTTTAAAAGGAGACCATCTTAGGTCCGCTTGTCTTCATTATATTCTATAAAGTCCTGTGAGACAAAATTGACTCAGTAGCAATAATCAACGAAGACGATACAATGATCTAGAGGTGCATTGGAAGCAAAGAGTCTTAAAATGAGCTTATAAAGGACGGTACATCTGTTGGTGAGTAGTTGGTGAAAAACTGGTTGCAACAAAACTAGTCGAAACATCACGTTATGAAAATTCTTCCCAACGTGATTCATACAACTTGCATCGTCAATGGAAGTCCTCTCTCTTATATCTACTAAGGCTTAATAACTACTGAAAGTCTTGACACAAGTTAGAACCATATAGAGGACGCAGCCAAAACTAATGCAACTCCTCATTTTGTACAACGACAACTTGATGCTTTCACCCCAGAATTATTTTCAACGTTTTTTAAGGCTGTTGCGCGCCCACACCTGGAGCTTCAAAATGTCATCTGACCCCTTCTACTTAAAAGAGACATAAATATCTTGAATCAAGTAGGGAGATGATCAACAAAACGCGTGATTTGGTTGAATAATAAGGCTTAAGAAAGTAGACTCCTGCACTTGGGATTATTTCACACTGATTATCATTTCCTTCGCGAACCAGTCGTGAATGATGCGTGTCTTGGGACCTTATGATAATTAGAAGTATTTGAATTATAGGATGAACTAATAATCCCAGAAATAACGTAAGTGGATCACGAACTACTAGATAAGTACGAAAGAATGTACTGTATTTAGAATTAGAAATCAGGCATTTTTCAACAACAAGAAGTCACTAGTTCATTCAAACACCACAGACCTGCTAGCTGTTATCAATACCATTTCTTAAGATGAATAACCTAATCCATCTCGCTTATTACCTCTGTTTTCTCTCCGTTTCCTACACTTCAGTCCTCTCGTACAATCTGCATTACCATTTTATAAACAAAATCGTCCATTTATTTACTTGAATCTGAAATCTCATTAGCATTAGAATTTTCCCCTTGTTGTCCTCTACATTGCAGCTAACTGATCTGTGGTCTGGTAAAGTGATGGCTTCTGATATCCAGTAATCCTACTCCGCTGAAACAAAAGTACTCATTCAAACCACGGGACATATAAACTCTCAAACCACTGCCAACTGACCAGAATCAGTACAGTCAACTAGCTAGACCCCATCCATCGGACACTACCAAACACCTGGAGCAGTACTAAAAGAACGAGAATCGAGAGCAAAGAAATCAGTTGGTTTATACTATCTTGAGAAAAAATATTGGATGTCTTCAAATTGTAACATTGAAACAAATAATAATGAACCTTGTGAAATAAGCAATGACTATCATATTTATTTAACTAATACGTTCAATGGGTGACGATTGGAACATAATTTTTATGTGTCTAACATGTATCTATGTGTATCTAACTGCCATTCAAATGCTTATATAATAAACCAATAAGATTGCAAATAGGACTCTGGCGCGGTTTTCAACTGCGAACTGCCAGTCGTTAGTTTGTTGATGTAGTTCTTATCCGTTTTCTGTGTACTACATTATCTTGAATTAGTACTGTGTGGTTATAATAACTTAAGGTGTAGGTAAATTATAAGGTCACACGTAGGTAAACCTTTCTTATGGTACTATGTTGACAGCTTTGATAAAATCTCTGTGTAAAATGAAATTTTTAGTAAATTTCGTAGATTTTTCTCATGATTGGTTCAGCAAACTACTAGAGACCTTTTAGCAGTATTTTAAGGTCTACGGCTTTTGAGAGTCATACTTCTATGATATGACGTCATTATGTAATTCAATATGTAGTCCTTGAAGCCTCAAAGTTTACTAGTTAGTAGAATTCGGTAGTATTCATATATAGATTATTTCAACAAATAAATGATGTCGTTATGGCTATTCAAGCCTTATTGTTACATGACATCCCTTGGTATTTCTACATATCTTTACTATTCTGCTTAATCTAAGTGATTTCACCAGTGTTAGCGGTAATGAGATATTGTATGCAAAGGATCCACACAAGTAAATCATTTGCTAAACCAAGAATACCTAGTTTTAGAAAAATATAAAACACCGTAATCTACTACTCTTTATAACTATATATAATGTTCAGAAGTGGTTGCATTGCCGTCATTTAGCTTACGTTGGATACTACACCAAGTTACATGAATGAATTGTATCCCTGTCATAATTTAGTATGATTTTGTTTACTTGATATCGCTTTTCATTATCCATGGTTGACTGATAATAAAGAAATGTACAGGTCAAGATTATTTTAGTTTAATGATACGTATATAATTATGAATTAGCTACCGAAATTTCATTTCAGTTCAGGTGTTCCATCTGCTGGATTTTTCAACCTTTCACTTGAATATGGCATAGTCCTAATTTCCCGGCTAAGTGGACACTCAGTGCGTTATTACTTTTAGATTAATGGTAATTTTAACTTTATACCATCAACTTTGCATTACTATTCATAGCAATCTCATTCTGGCATACTCCGACTACTTTTGTCATCAAAATATCGCAAACACAACCATTAGGTATTCATATTTTGTAGGAGGAGCCGTTTTTAAATCGTTTATTGAGATGCTTAGCATGATACATCAGTATTATCGAGTTACTAATTTGTCTGATTTTCTGTTTGCTTCTATTAAAACATTCTACAGCTGATTTCGGTGACGTTTACAAACTGGACCAACTACTGTCACAAATATTCTTTGTTAGTTAACTATTGTTATTCCTCTACCTGTTAATCAAAATGGAGACTTTAGCATCATATATGGCTGAAGGACTAGGTGCAGATATTGCATCTATTCGTCTACTTTTATCATTGTCCATGGGTTTGTTTATCGATATAGTTCATTTTGTTTATTAACTTTTTCCAATAATAGGTTATCCTATCGCTTTTATCTACAATTTAAAGTCAAGTTCATGGAAGGTTTCTTATCGACATATATATTTGTTTATTTGTGGCGTTCTATTGTTTCTATGGAATTTTGGTAGTTTCATTGTTATCTTTTCTAGTCTTTTACACTGTATGTAGGTTTTGATATTGTGCATATGTTTATTGGGATTTTTGCAACAATGTTTGTTAATTACCGGTTTAAGCATTCAAATATTGCTGTTATGTTTGCTTTTGTTTTTAATATGGTTTGTTTATAAATCAATCTTAATCATTAATAACTAACTAATAAGGGATATTTAGTTATCGGCTCTCATATATGTAATCGAGGTACTTATGATATAAATTGGACAACACCATATTGTGTTCTTTGCCTAAGAATGATTGGATTATCATGGGATCTATATGATGCATCTAAATCAGAAGTAAGTATCTGTCAATATTCGTTTTATGCTTGTTGTTGGCATTTTATTGAGTTTATGATCTTATACTGTTTGATAATACAGAGTTGGTTCATGCTTTTAAATTTTCAATCGTTAGTTATCATGAAATAATTTCAGATACAGTTTGATGTCCATTTGGAAAGTTAAAAAATGTTTTTTTTTCTGCATACGTTTATACGCTTCACCTAGAAATTTATAGTAATAAACCATTTGAAAGATTCATTACAAATTCCACATGTAATTATCAAAACACTGGACCACATTACGTTTAACTTGTACAGGAAATGTAGGTCTTACTGCATTTCGACTAAAATCATTAGTCAAAATGAGGTACCACGAAATAAGATCATGATCTGATGAATTTCAAAGAAGTAGGTTGTAAAATTACATCTAGTCAAAACCTTGTCTACGCAGACATATATAGAGTTGATAAATTATGGCTGTTAGTGGAATCCAGGATGTGCGTCTCATCCTGCTTGGCACTAGTATAGCTGAGCGTACCTGCATCTACATAAATGTCATTGAATCATCTATATCTCCTAAAAAGTAGTCTTTCACTTCAGAACTCAATACGTTGGTGTTTATTTCTTCTTAGCTTAGCTCCAAGATGGCATCTTTTAATGTTGACCCACTTTTTCTACAATCAGTTCAATAAATTACAACGTAGAACTTTGTACGTAAGTACATCAGTTGCCATACCTCATTAGCACAGAGATATAATTGTCAATTAAAATCCCATAGTAGTAGAGGTAGTTAAGGTATTAGAAGTAATCGGAGAGATTAGGATTAGAATATATTATTCAAGAAGTATGATTCAGTGAGAAAAGTTTAGAAAGTCAAAACTAGAGGTGTTAAAGAATCCAAAAGACTAGGATTTGAGAGAACACAAAGAATAAATGCACCTGCGCCATTGCAAACGGTTCTAAGCCATATCATTCAGGGTCTCTAACCATAGATTATTATCATCTCGCGGACCCCAAACAGGTAGTCGGTACCTACCCACATAACTCAGTTCACTTGCTAGTGACTTTATGGATTTCTGCGATGTTTTGATCTGGCCGCCCCTAGCTTTCGTCCAAGCTACTCCTATATCGCAAAACATAGCTCGACGAGGCAGTCGGTGGTTAGGTATACATAACACATGTCCCAACCACCTCAACTGATGAAGTTTCATTACTTCATCTATTGACCTACCATCCTTACCTAGCACCCGTTTCCTATCAACAGCAGTGCTTACTCGGCTGTCCCACGATACTTGAGCAGTGCTTTGGAGACACCTATTATGATTGAAAACCGGTAACCTACGATTATCTTCTACTCTGGCTGGCCATGTTTCACAGACATAAAGTAGGATGGAGCGAACTACCGTTGCAAGACACTGGTCCTTTGGTCAATAAACGGATATTTCGCCTTCGCCATAAGTGATGCAGGTTGGCAAAAGCCAATCGAGCTTTCTGTATCTGAGCTGAGATTTCGTCAGTCACCAGGCCATCAGCACTGATGAGATTCCCGAGATAAGTGAAGCGGTCAACAGACTCAACTGCTTCACTCCCTATCACTAGTTCAGGTACCGATGAAACCCAATCTTGAAGCAACATTTTGCATTTCGAGGTGGAGAACCGCATCCCGAACTTGCTTGCATTGTTGCTCAGGGTAGTCAAAAGACCCAGCGTCTTTACCAAATAGAACTATGTCATCGGCATATTCTAAGTAAATAAGCGAGCCTCCTGGTAGAAGGTCTACTGAAAATTCAGACGATAATGTGATATATAATGGCGTGTCTCTGACAAAATTGAACAAGAATGGGGAAAGTGGACATCCCTGATGGACACCACTTGAAGTAAAGAATTCCGATGACAGTTCGCCATAAGCTCTCACTCGACCAGTAGTGTTCGAGTAGGGAGCTTTTATAAGGTTAATGTACTTCTTTGGTACACCTTTCAATGATAGACACTGCCACAGAACCTCACGATCAACAGAGTCAAATGCCACCTTAAGGTTCAGGAAAACAACTATTGTAGGACGCCTAAATGTGTGTCTGTGTTCCAGGGCCTGTCGTAGTGTGAAGATGTGGTCTATACATCCCTGTCCAGGTCTGAAACCGGACTGGTTTTATCTAGTCTGCTCTTCATGAGCTTTCTTCAAGCGTTGAAGTATTATTGAGGCCAATATTTTAGATACTATATTAGTTAGACTTGTTCCCCTGTGATTGTCACAAGAAGACTTGTGTCCTTTCTTGGAAATTGGGAAAATCAGGGATCGAGACCAGTCAGATGGGATTGTGTCCAGTTCCCACATTCTACCTAAAATCTCAGTCAATCTAGATGTTAAAACTGGACCACCATCCTTAAAAATCTCATGGGTCAATCTATCAGGTCCTGCTGCTCTTCCAGATTTCCTATAGCCTTTTAAACTCATGAAGATTCGGAGGGCTTGCGTCGACTTGCCATTCAGGATGACTGGAGATCGTGGGTGACCGAAGTGTGGTTAAAGGCCAGTTGAACTGATCCCTGAAGTGTTCTGCCCATTGACCCAATCTCCTGGATTGAGAATGAATAATAGTCCTATCCTTTTCCGAGATAGTTTCACTCACATTCGGGTTCCTAATACGTTTCCTTCATGAGTCTGAATAGTTGCTTCTGATGCCTATCGCCGTTACCCACATTTTTTACATTTTTTGGCACCCAGTTGGTCTAGAAAACAGCTTCACTGTTATCTACAATCTTGATTTAAGCAGTATAATATAAAATCGGCACCTTAAACGTGCATTCTAGAATGCGTCACACAATACCTAGCTAGTGAATTTTAAGTGTAATACAATATGCCTCTCATCCTTTACCTCCCAGATGACCTAATGTGGTTGAAAGGTGAGGAGAGACCGCTTCCTCTTGAAAAGCTTTTATAAGGTGATATGTATACAGCCCGTACCAATGAAGTCCTACTCATTTTAATATTCTCGTTACGACTGTGTTTGTACAACTGAAAAAACGCGAAGCAAATGTCCAACGTTTAAACCTGATTTTAATGTACAGAGGGCCAATCTAAGGGAGTTAGCAAACCCTGATTCCAAATCAACGATGCACATAGACTGACTGCATTGTCTTGAAAGAACAAATGGTGTAATAACCTACCATTGGACCTCGTCTTCTAACTTTGCTCCAACTACGTTGTGGAATAAATTTGTAGGTCAAAGTCCCGAAAAGTGGCCCCGTAATAAAACCATCTGCTGTTGTTTGGATACCTGGACAATGTCCCAGCTCACATATATATTCAGTGGTCAATGTGGCTTATATATATATGTTACGCTCGTCTCTATGTATGCTTAAACTGTTACGAGTTCATCTTAGTCGATTAACGAGAACAAAACAATGAACCAGCCTCCAGGTAGGCTATTGTGATCCCTTGACCAAATTGTATCAGTAAGAAGTCTTGATATAGCGTAGAAATTGTATTCTACAAATACCCAGCCAGCACACACAATGAATACAAGCACTCAAATTGCGTTTATTTATACTCTATAGATAGAGACGTCCTTGGGACAGTCACAAAAATGGCACACTAAAATGACACAGTAACCAATCACAGCCAAGGATTTTCTTGGTGGGAAATATGATCTCAAGGTCAACTGATCGATCGTTCCATGAAATAAATCCAAAATAAAGATATTTATCAAGCGAGTTCTAGGCATCTAACATCCCCAACAAATATATGTATATATATATGTTGCTGCTCGTTTCTACCAATAAATGAATTAAGATTTAGAAGACCGATATATCTTAAACATAAGTTAAATTGATTGAGAATATTAACTAGTTTATGAGATCTTTGAAGTTGAATAAAAAGCATTGATTTTCAAACTGACAGTTAAATGTATGTACATCGATGAACTTTACACGGTCATTTGTTGAAAGATTCAAAACTACACTAAATCATCCGTTTCCAACCCATAAAATCATTCCTTTTTTAGATTTGAGAAAGGAACTGCTAGTTAAGAAGGATACTACTTGTATGTCGTTTGTAAGTTCACAGAATAAACACTTACTACGAATAACTACTGTCTTAGTGTGTTATTGATTGATATCTTGATCAAACAAACCCCATACTTTCACGTTCAATGATTCTTTACCAATTGGAAATTGTTAAAAGGTTGTCGCATTGCCTGCCACTTACTTAATCTCTTGTCAATTCAATTAAATCGTTCAAAATATAATTATACACATACATTTTTGTTTTCCTACCCTAGAGTCAACAATCAGCTTCACAGAAAAAGTCAGCTTTGTCTAAATTCCCTGGAGTATTGGAGACATTGGCGTTTTCTTTTACTCCAACAGCTTTTCTTACTGGACCTCAGGTTGGTAATTTTCTCTCTCTCTCTCTTTATCAATGAATGAATGCCTTTATCAAATCAATCAATGATCTATACATATAGTCTTTACAGAATGTTTTTTTACCTGTGTAAAATTGTTAAGTTTGTCATTAGATATGCTTGAAAACTATTACAGGTTCTCACCTTAGTCGATAAGCGTAAACGAGACAATGAACCAGTGTCCAGGTAGGTTACCCTGATCTGTAACGGCTAAAGAGTAGTCTTGATGCAGTGTAGAAAGTATATTCTACAAACACCCATCAAGCACACAAATCTCGTTTATTTATCAGTCAGATGCAACGTAGAACTTCGTGCGTACGTACATCAGTTCATGTTGCCATACCACATTAGCACAGAGATATAATTGTCAATTCAAATCCAATAGTAATAGAGGTAGTAAAGGTATTAGAAGTAATCAGAGAGGTTAGGATTAGAAGATATTATTCAAGAAGTATAATTCAATGAGATAAGTTTAGAAAGACAAAACTAGAGGTGTTGAAGAATCTAGAAGATTAGGATTTGAGAGAACATAAAGAATAAATGCACCGGCGCCATTGCAAATGGTTTTGAGCTATGTCATTCAGGATCTCTAACTATCGATTATTATCATCTCGCGGACCCCAACCAGGTAGTCGACAACTACCGACATGACTTAGTCCACTTGTCAATGACTTCATAGATTGCTTCCATGTTTTGGTCTAGCTGCCCCTCGTTTATTTACACATCATAGAAACGTCCTTGGGACAGTCACAAAAATAGCACACTAAAAAATACACAGCAGCCAATCACAGCGGAAGATTTTCGTGGTGGGAAATGTGATCTCAAGGTCAACTGATCAGCTCATGCACGCAAAGGTGATATTCAAAATTAAGGCATTTATCAAGCGAAGTATCTAACATTCCTAACAAAAATTTACTGACATTCTGAAAAAATAACATTTTATCTACTTTGTATCAAAATAATTATAATGAACTTTTTTTATTGTTGATAAATTTGTTTATGATTTACACGGAAATATTCCTCCTTTTTCTCAAATAATCTGTATCAAATTTGTTAATTAATCTTTTGCGCATTGAATGAATGTATCTTTCTGTTATGCTACTCTTGTACACCAACAGTTATCATGTAGAGTCAGCCAGTTCACTCGTCAGTGAGTGACTTCATAGATATGTGCCATGTCTTGATTTGGCCACCCTTACCTTTCTTCCAACCTATTCCTACACCACAAAACATCGCTTGTCGTGAGAGTCGGTGGTTGGGCATACGCAACACATGTCCCAAGTACCTCAGCTGATGAAGTTCCACTATTTCATCAATTAATTTGCCATCCTTAGCTATACTCGTTTCCTAACAGCAGTATCACTTACTCGATTTTCCTAAGATATACTAGCAATGCATCGAAAACACTGATGATCAAATACTAACAGTCTTCTTCTTTTCCTTTGACCTTGAGGGTTCCATGTAAGGGCTTGTCTTGTGATGCATTTAGGTGCTTTTCGCAGTGTGTGTCCTATCCACTTCCACCACTTCTTCCTGATTTCCTCCTCCACTGGAATCTGGTTTGTTTTCTCCCACAGTAGGCGGTTGTTGCTGATGGTGTCTGGTCAACGAATCCTCAGTATTTTGCGTAGACAACTGTTAATAAACACTTGCATCTTCTGGATGATGGCTTTGGTAGTTCTCCAAGTTTCCACTCCATACAGTAGAACTGTCTTCACATTTGTATTGAAAATCCTGATCTTGGTGTTGATTGATATTTCAGTTGTAAAAATGCAGCGCTTGCTTTGCCGATCCGCGCCATCACATCTGCATCTGATCCACCTTGATTGTCGATGATGCTGCCCAGATATGTAAAAAAGGTGTTAATTTCCTGCAAGGCATCTCCATCAAGAGTGATTTGATTGGTGCATGTTGTGTTGCATCGTAGAATTTCGCCTTTTCCTTTATATATGTTGAGATCTACTGCTGCAGAGGCTGCTGCTAGACTGGTCGTCTTCTCTTGCATTTGTTGTTGCGTGTGCGATAGAAGAGCCAGGTCATCTGCGAAGTCCAAATCGTCCAGCCGCGTCCTAGCTGTCCAGTAGTTATATGATTATATTATACAATGGTTACCTCTTTCTTTCTAACTTATAAATATCTCTGTATTATTTTCTTATGACCAACTTTCTTGTTGTAACTTCCTATAATCATTACTCGATTAGAATAATGTGTACAACATCACTAATTAAAATAATGAACAGTCTGTATGATTACAAACAATCCATATTTATTGATTCTTCGCTTCAAATCGCTACCACTATTGCATTTGAACTGACAGTTACGTACGTCTCTGTGCTAATCACGATATGGCAACCTGAACTGATGTAGTATATATGTACGAAGTCCTATGTTGTATCTGTCTGTTGATTCTTCAAAACAAACAAACTACTGTTAATGAGTTAAGTTTCAATGTTCACATAATTCAATAATAAATTAACATGTTACCTAAATTGTACATATCAATTTAGTAATTATCTTAACCAAATTGCCTAGTAATCAACTTCATTAACTCAATGATAATAAGGATTAAAAAACAATTCGTTATTTGTATATACAAAGAAAGCGCTGACATTTACTTTTTTTATCAGTAATCGTAAAACTGTTTGTGTGTGTGTGTGTTTGTGTTTTCATAGTTTCCTATGCGACATTTCCAAGCATTCATTGATGAAACCTTAAGACCAAAGTTCAGTTTAAAGAAGAGCACATTTAAAGATCGTTTTATTGACAATCCTAGGTAAGTATTTATAGATGAATATGTTCATTTTATTCCGCTGACCTTTGTTTTACTGTCATTGATGACATGACACAACATCTTGTCATCATCATCATCACAAATAAATTTTTAACAAACACTATTACACAATTGGCACAACTGTACAAAAAGTGGAAGAAAATTATACTTGATATGTCCGTACCTAAGTAATCATAACTTGAAACAAATAAAACGCATACTTACTTACTTACTTACTTACTTACTTACTTACTTACTTACTTACTTACTTACTTACTTACTTACTTACTTACTTACTTACTTACTTACTTACTTACTTACTTACTTACTTACTTACTTACTTACTTACTTACTTACTTACTTACTTACTTACTTACTTACTTACTTACTTACTTACTTACTTACTTACTTACTTACTTACTTACTTACTTACTTACTTACTTACTTACTTACTTACTTACTTACTTACTTACTTACTTACTTACTTACTTACTTACTTACTTACTTACTTACTTACTTACTTACTTACTTACTTACTTACTTACTTACTTACTTACTTACTTACTTACTTACTTACTTACTTACTTACTTACTTACTTACTTACTTACTTACTTACTTACTTACTTACTTACTTACTTACTTACTTACTTACTTACTTACTTACTTACTTACTTACTTACTTACTTACTTACTTACTTACTTACTTACTTACTTACTTACTTACTTACTTACTTACTTACTTACTTACTTACTTACTTACTTACTTACTTACTTACTTACTTACTTACTTACTTACTTACTTACTTACTTACTTACTTACTTACTTACTTACTTACTTACTTACTTACTTACTTACTTACTTACTTACTTACTTACTTACTTACTTACTTACTTACTTACTTACTTACTTACTTACTTACTTACTTACTTACTTACTTACTTACTTACTTACTTACTTACTTACTTACTTACTTACTTACTTACTTACTTACTTACTTACTTACTTACTTACTTACTTACTTACTTACTTACTTACTTACTTACTTACTTACTTACTTACTTACTTACTTACTTACTTACTTACTTACTTACTTACTTACTTACTTACTTACTTACTTACTTACTTACTTACTTACTTACTTACTTACTTACTTACTTACTTACTTACTTACTTACTTACTTACTTACTTACTTACTTACTTACTTACTTACTTACTTACTTACTTACTTACTTACTTACTTACTTACTTACTTACTTACTTACTTACTTACTTACTTACTTACTTACTTACTTACTTACTTACTTACTTACTTACTTACTTACTTACTTACTTACTTACTTACTTACTTACTTACTTACTTACTTACTTACTTACTTACTTACTTACTTACTTACTTACTTACTTACTTACTTACTTACTTACTTACTTACTTACTTACTTACTTACTTACTTACTTACTTACTTACTTACTTACTTACTTACTTACTTACTTACTTACTTACTTACTTACTTACTTACTTACTTACTTACTTACTTACTTACTTACTTACTTACTTACTTACTTACTTACTTACTTACTTACTTACTTACTTACTTACTTACTTACTTACTTACTTACTTACTTACTTACTTACTTACTTACTTACTTACTTACTTACTTACTTACTTACTTACTTACTTACTTACTTACTTACTTACTTACTTACTTACTTACTTACTTACTTACTTACTTACTTACTTACTTACTTACTTACTTACTTACTTACTTACTTACTTACTTACTTACTTACTTACTTACTTACTTACTTACTTACTTACTTACTTACTTACTTACTTACTTACTTACTTACTTACTTACTTACTTACTTACTTACTTACTTACTTACTTACTTACTTACTTACTTACTTACTTACTTACTTACTTACTTACTTACTTACTTACTTACTTACTTACTTACTTACTTACTTACTTACTTACTTACTTACTTACTTACTTACTTACTTACTTACTTACTTACTTACTTACTTACTTACTTACTTACTTACTTACTTACTTACTTACTTACTTACTTACTTACTTACTTACTTACTTACTTACTTACTTACTTACTTACTTACTTACTTACTTACTTACTTACTTACTTACTTACTTACTTACTTACTTACTTACTTACTTACTTACTTACTTACTTACTTACTTACTTACTTACTTACTTACTTACTTACTTACTTACTTACTTACTTACTTACTTACTTACTTACTTACTTACTTACTTACTTACTTACTTACTTACTTACTTACTTACTTACTTACTTACTTACTTACTTACTTACTTACTTACTTACTTACTTATCTGCATTTTACTACTGACTGTGTCCTCAGCCTTCCTTTCTATCTCCGTACAATTGTTTTTCATTCTTCTCATATTTGTCTCCATATTTTCGGCGTCATGTGTTCCTTGACCTTCCTCTTTTTTTATTTGACCTTGAAGAATCCAGGTGGTCAAAACACTTGAAACAGTAGTTTATGCGTCAAATATAAATTTCTAACTAGGCTTATTGAAAATATTTATTATTTATATATTTAGTAATTAAGCAGTACAAAAACACTTACAAAACTTCAACTTTGCTCTTAATATTTACTGAGTTACAGCGAGAATACGCTACTCTATATGTTGTATTGTATCAAAACTCATTCTTTCATTGTGCTATTTTGGCTGTACATAGTTTCATACATACTACCTGATAACTTGATCATATTTATTCTAATTATTTTGACTTTACTACTACTATAACTCATGTGTAAAAAAACTACACATTATTCAGTATAAGAGAATGTGGGAAGTAGCTATTATTTTTTTGGCGAATCTGCTCGAAAGTAAAAAACTACTAAGATAACTAACTAAAGTTGAAATAGTGGTAAACAATAATCCTCATAACTGTACAATGAAAAAATTGTACAATGTTACTCACTAATAATGACTAGCTTTGTAAGGAACTTCTCGAAGTTCTAATGAGCATACGTGACCAGTGTAGTTTAACCGTGTCCGATGTAGGGCAGTAACTACCGAAGAAACAAGTAAATGGATGAGATCACGCAAAATCTATAGGGTGATCAGAGTTAGGCATTAACACTGTTAGATGCCGATCAACTCAGTGATCCAGAGGTTGGCCGTTCGCACGCATGACCGAAGTTTCCTGGGTTCGATTGCTGTGAGTAGCAAAAGTAGTGGATGCCAGTGGATGTCACTGATAAGTTGTCCCGTGCCAGGACAAAACGGCCGCCCAGTGCTTGCAACTTTTAAATGGTGGTCTAACAATGATTAATTCATGATTTCAGTGATTAAAAAAAATGGCGCAAATATTATTTGCAGAGATGGATGATGGTGACTAGCAGTGAAGTCCAAGACGCTTGTAATCTAAAGACAATACTCCGCACAGGATTCATATATGTGTCATAATGACTGGTCAGTTTGTTGCGGTCGTTAGATCCCCAGAATTCACTTGATAAATGTCCTAATTTTGCATTTTATGCTTTCGTACATGTACTGATCAGTTGACCTTGAGATTACATTTCACAGTCAGAAAATCCTTGACTGTCATTGGTTGATGTGTTATTTTAGTATGGTATTTTTGTGCCTCTCACAAGGATGTTTCTTTCATGTATAAATATACTCGATTTGTATGCTTGTCAACCTTGATTTTCTGAGTGCTCGTAGAATAGACTTTCTACTCCATATCAAGACTTTTCGATATAGGTAGCCGCGCCGTGGAAAACGGACTAGAATAGCCTATCATGTCACTACTGCATCATTTATCTGCTCTCTGTTTACCGCTATGAGGTTCGAACTGACAGTGGCTTCTCTGTGCTAATGCGGTATGTATGACAACCTGAACTGACGTACGTACGAAGTTCTACGTTGTAATCAACTAATTGACTGACTGCTCCGTTTATCGATTAAACTGAATTCATAATAGTTTCAAGCATAACAATCAACGAGCATATCACAATCGTATTCATAACCAACACTGAGCTTCCTATTACCTCGGTGTCTTCGCCTAAAAAATCATGTATGGAAATTAGATGGAGAAAGAAAAATTGATTTAACAACATAATCAGCTGTTCATCAAAAAATTGGAGTCAAATTGTGGGCCACAAAACAATCAATACACCAACAAATGTATTGCATAAATGGTTTCTGTGTAATACGTATTTGAGTTTAGATACGTGACTGTATATCTTTTTTTGGATGTACTCTTACGAATATCGCTCATTGTCTTTCATTTTAATCCCACAAATGCATAAATGCTCATGATACCCAACCGAAGCTGCTACCTTGACGTAGTGGTCGGGCTTGCCTATCGTGTGATGACCCAACCGAGCTATATTAGCTGGAACTAATGTTCCTGAAGGTTCTACCATGCCAGGCAGGTCGATTGGAGAACGATGAGACTAAAAGCAGCTACCCAAGATCTGAGGGTGAAGTCGTACTGCTGACTGTAGAGGGGTGTGACAGCAGTAAGGTGTTTCACTTGGACAACCAGCATATCAGACCAACACTAATCTACCTTCCTTATCAGGTTCCTCAAAAATCAACCTTCCGCAATGTGAACAGCCGGTAAGTGACAACCACCCTCATACCTGTAACAAGACACGAGACCAAATTAGTCAAAATCAAATTCTTCCTACACCCCCTAATACCTCTCTTATCTCCACAACGAACTCTTCTCATATTCTTTTATCACACTGCTCATGATACTTAAATCCATTGATGCCTAATCTTCATTATCGATAATGCATACTATGAACAACTAGCTCTACTATTCGAACAACCCTGATGATGGACACATAGTATCCAGTTGTGTACGTAATACAATACAGATATGAATAATGCTTAAATCAATTGAATTTGTGTTGTTGTAGTTGTGGTTACCAATTACACTGAATAATTTTTACTCTTCTTTTTATTTCCACAGATATCGTCGAACATTAGTTCGTTTTGTCTTGGGTTATATTGGTGTCATTGTTTTATCAAAATGGTTATCCATGTATCCTGCTGACACGATGTTAACTCATGAATTTCAATATGTTAGTTTGTGAATAATTTGTTTTCGTGTTTTCATTGTTGTCAATACTCTTAAATTTGAATTGTTTAAAACAAATGAATTTTATTAATTGAATCTTAATCCTGGGCGGTTAGACCAAAAAACATGGCAGAAATCCATGAAGTGTCACTGACAAGTGAACTGTGTCATGTTGGTAAATGTAGGCTGCTGCCTGGTTGAGGTGCGCGAAACGAGTCACCAATGGTTAGAGACATTGAACGACATGGCTTAAAATCGTTTGCAATGGCGCAAGTGAATCCATTCGTTGTACTCTCTCAAATCCTAATCTTCTGGATTTGTTAGCACCTCTACCCCTTTGTGTTTCTAACCTTATCCCTCACTGAATTATACTTCTTGAATATAAATATCTTCAAACCCTCGTATTCTTCATTACCATTAATACCTCTAATATCTTTATCACTATGGGATTTGATTTGACATTTGCGTGTCTATGTGCTAATGTAGTATGGCAACATGAACTTATTATGTACATACGTACGAAGTTCTACGTTGCAACTGACTGACTGACTGACTGGATTGAATCTTATCCAGAACAGTTAATTATTGTGATTTTTATTGATTTTTCCATCTGGTGGTGGTATTTGAAAATAGTAGAAATTTTTGTTAACTCAAATGGATGATGACTTCGATGGAATATCGTTTCCTGGCCTTCCATGTGGTAATTGCGAAATTGTCCATTGTCCTTCTGAACAAACTTCAGAGTAGAAATCAGATTGTGCGAAACAGTGCCAGTAAGAGTAAACGATATTTTTGGGTTACTGGTTTTGGATTATCGGTGCCTTGGATGCATTGCTGGGACTACCGAAGGATGTCAGATCAATATATCGAGAAATGAAACTTTTTTAGTTTTTCAAATACTTGGGACGTGTGTCGCGTATGCCCAACCAACCACCGACTGTATTCCACGATCTTTGTTTTATTGTGTAGGTGTACTCTGAAAGAAAGCTAGGATCGGTCAAACCGAGACATATCACAAATTCATTAAATCACTGACAAATGGACAGAGTCATGTTGGTTGGTGTAGATTACCTGTTTGGGTTCCATGAGACGATAGTAACCGATGGTTAGAAGAGATCTTGAATGACATGGCTCAAAATCGTTTGCAATGGCGCCGGTGCATTTACTCTTTGTGTTCTCTCAAATCCTAACCTTCTGAACACCTCATCACTTTAATCCTTCTCGCTTTGAAGTATCTTCGAACCCTAATCGTCTCCTTTACCGCTAATACTTCTACTATTTCCACCACTATGGGATCTGAATTGACAATGCTACCTCTATACTACGCTAATGTAGTATGACAACTTGAACTGATATATATACGTACGTACAAAGTTTGATTTTCCGCCACTTATCATAATATTTAGACAGGTGCATTAAGTAGTATCAACACTAGTCATCACATCTGACATTGTGATTCTAAGCCCGGGGTAAATAAGTTTGAACATAGTGTGTGTGTGTGTGTGTAAAACTCTTTAGGACTGTTATAGATAATTGACAATGTGTTGAATGCATTTTCATGTTCATCAACTAATCGATTTGTCAATAAATTACTACTTACTTTCTCAGTTTATTTGTTTGCTTTCCTTATTATCTTTAATAATGTTATTTATTTTGTGTGAATGGAATACTTTGCAATTATAGGAATGGAGTTTCTTTTCACGTCTACTTTATATAATCATATTTGGACAATTAGTATTATTGCGTTATGTATCAATCTGGTTGATAGCTGTAAGCTTACATTTTATATTATTATTATTATTATTATTATTATTATTATTATTATTATTATTAATGATAATTTTATGTAAACAATCCCACTACACTAATGCATTGCTACTATATCTTACCATAGTCGTGATTACTCAAACTCGATTCGTTAATATCTGTCAAAACGAGGGAATGATACTAATACTTCCGCAAGTAATTGTGTTACCCTATTACTGCATAGAATAGTATAGAATATCAGACCGCGCAGCCTCGAAACATTTGTCTTCAGTTGTTTTTTGTAATATTCCATGTGAAAGTGAACTTTTACAAATTAACACACTGAATTCAATTAAATGATTCAAAGTATAACTACCATGTACAATCTCACCTGTTCGAAATTTATCAATCCTACATAAGCTTTCCTTTTTATTGTTTATTTAATATTTAAATGCGTTTCATCACTTACTTGACGGATGTACTTGATGTGATATTACTTACTTAACTTACTTACTTACGCCTGTTATCCTCCAATGGAGCATAGGCCGCTCACCAGTTTTCTCCAACCAACTCTGTCCTGGGCTTCCCTCTCCAATTCTGTCCAATTTTTGTTCATTTTTCTCATGTCTTTCTCTATTTCTCGGCGTAATGTGTTCCTTGGCCTTTCTCTTTTCCTTTGTCCTTGAGGGTTCCATGTGAGGGCTTGTCTTGTGACGCAGTTAGGTGCTTTTCGTAGTGTGTGTCCTATCCACCAACTCCAGCGCTTTTTCCTGATTTCCTCCTCCACTGGAATCCGGTTTGTTCTCTCCCACAGTACGTTGTTGCTGAAGGTGTCTGGCCAACGAATCCGAAGTATTTTGCGTAGACAACTGTTAATAAACACTTGTATCTTCTGAATGATGGTTTTTGTAGTTCTCCAAGTTTCCACTCCATACAGTAGAACTGTCTTGACATTTGTATTGATAATCCTGATTTTGGTATTGGTTGAAAGTTGTTTGGATTTCCAGATATTTTTCAACTGTAGAAACGCAGCACTTGCTTTGCCAATCCGCGCCCTCACATCTGCATCGGATCCACCTTGATTGTCGATGGTGCTGCCGAGATATGTAGAGGTGATAACGTCCTCCAAGGAATCTCCATCAAGAGTGATTTGGTTGGTGCATGTTGTGTTGCATCGGAGAATTTCGATTTTTCCTTTATGTATGTTGAGACCTACTGCTACAGAAGCTGCTGCTACACTGGTCATCTTCTCTTGCATTTGTTGTACTTGATGTGATATATATATATATATATATATATATATATATATATATATTTTAAACCATGAATCGATCAATGTTAGACCACCATTAGAAACCTGGAAACACTGAAAGACGGCCGTTTCGCCCTGGTATGGGACTCCGATGGTTAGGCGTTCGCGCACAATACCGAAGGCCCTGGGTTCGAATCCTGTGAGGTGCAGGAGTCGTGGATGCGCACTGCTGATGAGTCCCATACCAGGACGAAACGGCCATCCAGTGCTTCCAGGTTTCTAATGGTGGTCTAACATTGATCGATTCATGGTTTCAAAAAAATGTGTAACTTAACATTCTTCACAACCCCGTAGTGCATATATATATATATATATATATATATATATATATATATATATATATATATTTCTGACATTCAAAGTTTGCCTTACGTGATTAATATTTTTGCATTTCTCCTAAAATATCCGATTCAATTATTGTTTTTTTTCTTTTTCTTCTAAAGGAAGGTTCTTGTGTATTAATCGGTCTTGGATGTACTGGTTTTGTTCATATCAAATCGAAAGGCTCTCAGCAACTACCTGATTGTGTCAAAAAAACTCAACAGTCTAACATGCTTACACGTAATGGTCCTGTTTTAGAACGTCGAGATTCCGGCATTGATTGGTCTTGTGCAGATAGCTATATCAAATCTCATGCAGAATTGTTTGATCCTACACAAATGATAATATGTGAAGCTCCACATACAGCTTGTGCAAATATTTCATTAACACGATATATTTTTGCTACAAATACTGACGATCTTGTCGCTGGTTTCAATATCAATACTAATCGATGGCTTTTAGTGTATGTGTTTTTTGCTGTATTTGTGCATTGATTGATTTTGTGTGATAATATGTCAATGGTTTTTAAGTTACATACATCTTGGTACGAGCCTAAATATTTGTTGTTTGTAAGCCTATTTTTTCAGGTAGTTAATAGGTTTACTGATTTCGGTGTATTTTTCGATTTTCAAATGGTATAAATTTTGTATGGTTACCCGAAAGTCAGTCAGTCAGATGCAACGTAGAACTTGGTACGTAAGTACATCAGTTCATGTTGCCATACCACATCAACACAGAGATATAATTGTCAATTCAAATCCAATAGTAGTAGAGGTAGTAAGGGAATTAGAAGTAATCGAAGAGGTTAGGATTAGAAGATATTATTCAAGAAGTATGATTCAGTGAGAAAAGTTTAGAGAGTCGAAACTAGAGGTGTTGAAGAATCCAGAAGATTAGCATTTGAGAGAACACAAAGAATGAATGCACCGGCGCCATGGCGAACGATTTTGAGCCATGTCATTGGTTACCCGAAAGTGATCATTTTTATTATTGATAGACTATAGTCCGCACGGCGTTTTGTCTTCTTTTGAGCCCACTGGGCTTGTCTCCCAAACCTTCGGACAAACCTTGTCAACTATTCACTTTTATCTTGGTTATTTCTACTCGACGATGTGTGCGCACAGTGATTACTTCGCTTATTATTATTATTATTATTACATGTCTGACTGTAAAGTGTTTAGTCATGCTTCATCGCTCACATAGAAGTTGACCCACTCGCCTTCTCCTGCTTCTTATTTTTATGTCTATTTGCAAGAACGGCGGCGGTCAGAAGTGAGTCTGTATTCGGCCTCACATTAACACCATCGCACAAGCGAAGTTCGCCTCAGTATGTATCGTATACGGAGACTGAAGGACAAATTTATTTCATTGCATATTCGTAACCACCGACTGCCTCGACGAGCTTTGTTTTGTAGTGTAGGAGTAGGTTGGAAGAAAGTTAGGGGTGGCCAAACTAAAACATGACAGCAATCCATGAAGTCATTGACAAGTGGACTGAGTCATGTTGGTAAGTGTCGACTACCTGATTGGAGTCCGCGAGATGATAATAATCGATAGTTAGAGACCCTGAATGACATGGCTCAAAACCGTTTGCAATGGCGCAAGTGCATTTATTCTTTATGTTCTCTCAAATCCTGATCTTCTAGATTCTTCAACACCTCTAGTTTTGACTTTCTAAACTTATCTCATTGAATCATACTTCTTGAATAATATCTTCTAATCCTAACCCCTCCGATTACTTCTAATTCCCTTACTACCTCTTCTACTATTGGATTTGAATTGAAAATGACATCTCAGTGTACTAATGTGGTATGGCAACATGAACTGATGTACTTACGTACGAAGTTCTACGTTGCATCTGACTGACTCACTGATTGCATATTCGACTATTCATTAGATTAGAGAGTTAAAAGTGCAGGCCATCAAAAAAAATTTTTCCACTTCGATAATGAAGTCTACTATTATTAGTAGTTTAACAAAAATTTCCAATAGTTAAACAGACATAATTCTAGTGTATTTAATATTGATTGCGTTGGCTTTGATTACGTTAAAATTTGATCAGTTAAATATTGATAGTTTCGAGTATTTGTGTTATTTTTTTAAAATATTCCTTGTTGTGTTTTGCATTACACTGTACAAATCACACAAGAAAAAATAAACTATTCACGTGAAACTATTTGAACTATCCGTTAATTACAGTCAAGTCAATCAGTCACTCAACCACAACATAGAACTTTGTTCGTGCGTACGTACATTAGTGTTCAAGTTGCCATACCACATTAGCACATACAGAGGAGATGCAGCTGTCACTTCAAATCCTATAAGTAGTACTAGGTAGAGTAGAACTATTAACAATAGTTAGAAATTTTAAGATTTCGACGATATTATTCAAGAAGTAGAATCTAGTGAAATAAACCTAAAAAGAAAATTCGGAAGGTTAGTATTTCAGAGAACACAAACAGTGGATGCACCTGCGCCATTGCAAACGTTTTTGAGCTATGTCATTCAATTGCTCTAACCATTGGTTACTATCATCTCAACCAAGTAGTCGACATCTACCGACATGACTTAGTTCACTTGTCAGTAACTTCATAGATTTCTGTCATGTTTCCGTTTGGCCACTCCTAGCTTTCTTTCAACTTATTCCTAAATTGCAAAACATAGCTCAATAAGGTAGTACACAAATCAAAACTATTCACGTTAACCTATTTGAATGTTCACCGATTCACATGAGATAATCATGTATATATATGATCGGTTAATTACACCATATATCATTCATTAGTAATTCATGTGACTAACCCTAACTATCACATGTTCTTTTTTTATCATGCAAAACAATACACTACTAGTGTAGTGAAGGAGAACACATGTGAGGGCAACCGAATTGTATTTAACGAAAATTACAGAGTTACTCAGTAAAATAGGAAAACCATATCGTAAACGGTTAATTTGCAAATCTTCAATCCATTGTCTGACATTTCACTATTCATCCGTTTCATACAAATTCCATTGTGTTCCCGCTCTTCCTTTCTTGATCTTCCCCCATCTTCTGCTGCCAGACATTACGTTGACACTCACGTCATATACTACTTATAAGTAGCTCACACCACACTAGTATTGCAGTTCAGTTTTTATTCACACAAAGAAAAACCAAGTGAATCAATCAAGTGACTTATTCTCATCTTTTTTGATAGTTTTTTTTGTAAAACAAGAAGATCATTTTGTAACTTCTAACTCGGTGTCTTCCTCGAGAAAAACTTGGGAATAATTAATATTAGAGTTAAATTTAAGATATTACTAAATTGTCAATTGAAATCATGACTCAAATATCGATAGACCATTATTAGAATCCTGGCAGCACTGAACGGATGTTTCGTCTTGGTATGGGACTCACCAGCAGTGCGCATTCACAACTCCTGCCACTTGCAGGAATCGAACCTAGGAGTCCTTTCAGTCAGTCAGTTACAACGTAGAACTTCGTACGTAAGTACAACAGTTCAAGTCGCTATACCGCATTAGCACAGAGATGCAATTGTCAGTTGTAATCCCATAGTGGAAGAAACAGTAGAAGTATTACTGGTTATGAATAAGATAAGGGTTGGAAGATATTTTTCAAGAATTTTAATTCAATTAGATAAGTTTAGAAAGAGAAAGGTAGAGGCGATGATGATTTCAGAAGATTAGAATTTCATAAAACGCACTGAGTGGCTGCACCTGCCCGATGGCACACGAGTTTGAGCCATGTCATTCAAAGTCTACATCGGTGACTTTCGTCTCGCGGACCCTGACCAGGTAGTTTACACTTATCGAAACCGCTCAGTCCACTTATTAGTGAATTTATGGATTTGTGCCATGTTTTGGTTTGGCCGTCGCTAGCTTTCTTCCAACATATTCCTACATCGCAAAACATAGCTCGTCGAGGTAGTCGGTGGTTGGGCATTCGTAACACATATCCCAGTCAGCTCATTTGATGAAGTTTTATTATTTGATCTATTGATTTTCTATCCCTACCTAGTACTTGTTTCCTAACAATAGCATTGCTTACCCGGTTGCCCGAGGATACATGCATGAGCAATGCTTCGCAGACACCGATGATCGAATACTAGTAACCTACGAAAGTCCTCTACTCTGACTGGTCATGTTTCACATCCATATATAGTAGAACAAAGCGAACTACTGCGCCGTAGACTTGACCTTCGATTAGCAGACGAATATCTCGCCTACACCATAAATGACTTACGTAAATTGGCAAAAGGCAATCAAGTAATATTGTTGTGCATTTATTTCTCATATTATATAACAACATGATTACAAATTTCTGTTGTACATTATTTATTCTTCCAATTTTTCTTCTTCAGTTACGTTTATAAACGTTTACGTTTCTTGGGCAATAAAAATTTATCTCAATTAATATCATTGTTATTTTTGGCACTTTGGCACGGTACATATACAGGTTATTATTTGAATTTCGGCATAGAATTATTAGTGATGACAGTTGAAAAAGATGTAAGACTATTTGTTTTTTTTTTTAAATATAATTCTGTTGATCATTTTCAATATTTAGTGTGTTTATTCATAGTTTTGCAGAATAAGATTGTTAAATTCACCACATTCTTACTGGTTTCATTGCGGGGTTGTTGTGAAGATTGTTAAGTTTTTATTTGTAACCATGAATCGATCAATGTAAGACCACTATTAGAAACCTGGAAGCACTGAAAGACGGCCGTTTCGTCCTGGTATGGGACTCATCAGTGGCAGTGCACATCCGCGACCCCTGCACCTCACAGGATTCGAACCCAGGACCTTCGGTATTGCGCGCGAACGCCCTAACCGTTAGACCACTGGGCCGGTATCTAACGGTGTTAATGTCTAACTTGATCAAATTCACGGAGTTGTGCAACCTCATACCTTGTATACATCCGGACAGGTTTGAACTTCACTCGTTTCATGAAATATGAATCGCCGGAACCTGCTCTGTTGATGACAAAACAACCTGTTATAGTGTGATTCTACCTCGCGAGTTAGACATGGAACCCAAACTTTAATGACCGCAATAACAACATTCAAGTTAGTCATTTATAAACATTCGTATTCTGTGTTGATAAGAGTCACTTAGCCCGTAGTATTCAAACAGTTAATGATTGATTGTCAACTAATGTAGTGATCGAAACAATGTAGGACAAACATCAAAACAAGATCAATGGAGAATGAAATCCATTGGACCAATAATTCCACGATTCTACGGTAGGCCGAAACTCCACAAACCCAACATTCCACTACGCCCTATTGTATCCCTCCCCGGAACCCCGACCTACAACTTATCAAGAGAAACTTCAAGGGTATTAAAACATCTGGTGGATGGATCCAACTACTCCATTAAATTTGCCACACAATTCTTGGATAAACTCAAGGGGATTCAAATCGACAACGACGAAACGATGATATCCTTCGACGTAACAGCCTTATTCACCTCAATAGAGCCAAGCTTAGCTAAGGAAACTCTTTCCCTGCTCCTCATCAACGACACGAATCTGCACAAATATACAAAGCTTCAGAGTCAAAATCTGCTTAAACTCAACGATCTATGCTTAACAACGTATTTTCAATTCAACAACAGAGTCTACGAATAAATAGAAGCAACACCAATGGGATCACCAATATCAGGAATCATCGCGGAAGCGGTAATGCAGAGACTAGAAGCGTCGATTTTACCAGTGATCAAGCCAAAAATGTGTGTTCGCTATGTAGACGACACATTCGCCATCATCAAAATGAACGACCTGGAGAACATCTACAATCAGATCAACAACGTCTTCGATGACATTAAATTCACGATGGAAAAGGAATCAAACAACAGCCTATCATTTCTGCATGTACTGATTACCAGAACTGACACAGGAAAACTGGAGACTCAAGTATTTTGGAAGCCGATCCTTCACAAACCTAGCAACCAACCGAAGTACTCACAAAATCAACTGCATACAAACGTTGTTCAAGAGATCGAAGACCACTGCAGCACATACGAAGCACTAAAAAACGAGGAAAGGAATCTGATGACAATCTTCCAAAAGAACGGCTATCCATGCAACTGCATTAAAAAGGCATCAACTGAAATCGTCAGCAGAAGCGCAATCAAGCAAGTACATGAACGAATAAACAGATCATCCTACCATACATAAAAGACAAATTGGAGTATACAGCACGACTACTGAGAACATTTGGAATAGGTGTGCCACACAAACCAACAGAATCACTTCAATCAATCCTCTGTAGACCAAAGGACAAAATGACAAATGAAGAAAAACCAAATATCATCTACAAAATAAATTGCTCAGACTGTGAAAAACACTACATAGGACAAATTAGACGTTCTCTTCAGCTTCGTTTGCGTGAACGCCAATTAGCAGTCAAATGCCACGACAACGCTTCGCTTATATCAATACACACGGACAATTATGGACGTAGATTCGATTGGAACAATGTGGAAATACTGGGTAGGGGGGGGACAAAGAACACTAGAGAATTTTTAGAAGCTTGGCACTCAGGCCAATCATCATTCAACAAACACATCGACATTGACACAATTTATCAACTTATCAGAAAAATCATAGGTGACATACGATCAAGAAACAGATCAAAAGGGGGATACAATCAATACAAAGGTGCAAACAACGACAGGTTTAAGGTCAACAGCAACCAATCAAGATCGAGGTTAGCAGAACAAGCTCCAGGTCAACGGTGGAGAAATTCGAATGCTTCACTTCTATCTGAAGTTTGTGCTGATGATGTTTATCAGAAGTAAATGATGAAAGCTCCACAACCAAAACATCCAGCACAGAGAACCAAACACCACCACCACAAACAACGTAAACATTTTGAATCGTGAGGGAAATTTGACAATATTCTAAAACTATCATTTCAAAGAATTGTAAACCTTTATGTTATAATTCTCCCTAAATGACAACACAGCTATTCTGGGACACCAATTCACTCGAGATGTTCTCCCAAATTAGAACACAACTGAACAGGAAATAGTTTATATTCCAAGACAGGAAAATGTATATGATTTCTTACATGAGAAGATTCTCGAATGTTCCCTCAGTTATCGGCTAACGCTGATTGGATATGAAAGAGCCAATCAGCGTGCAACAAAGCAATCATGCTTTCATCCAATCTACAATTCACTATCGGAGAGATTAGGGTTTGAAGATGTTATTCAAGAAGTATAATTCAGTGAGGTAAATGTAGGAAGATAAAGAGAGAGGTGATGAGGAATTCAGAATTTCATACAACACAAAGAATAAACGCATCGGCGCCATTGCAAACGATTTTAAGCCATGTCATTCAGGGTGTCTAACCATCGATTATTATCAAGTAGTCGACACTTACCGACATGACTCAGTCCACTTGTCAATAACTTCATGGATTTATGCTAAACAATCTGTTCGTTACTATTTGAAATTGAATGGTTATGTTTATGTATGGCAGTAAATTATCGAAGCAATGAAGCACAATGAATTTTGCGAATAGTGTCATCTTGTGACTACATTAAAATTTGTTAACTTTTTTTTCCTTTTGGCGCCAAAAAGAAATCTAGAAACATTAGATTCCAGCCAAATTGTTTATTTGACAGTAATCATTCCAATCCCGACCGTAGTTGTCGTTAGGAAGTGAGTACTACGTAGGGATGAAAGATCAATAGATGAAGTATTGAAACTTCATCAATGTGTTATGTACGCCCGACCACCAACTACCTCGACGAGTCACGTTTTTTACTGTATAGGAGTAGGTTAAAAGAAAGGTAAGGGCGACTAGAGCAAAACATGGCACAAATACATGCAGTGACTGACAAGTGAACTAAGTCATGTTGGTAGATGTGAACTACTTGGTTCAGGGTTCCGCTAGATGACAGTAACCTTATGGTTAAAGACCCAAAATGACATAGCTAAAAATCGTTTGCAATGGTGCAGGTGCATCCATTGTTTGTATTTTCTCAAGTTCGAACACTAATCTTCTCCATTTCCCCTAATACTTCTACGACTATGAGAGGGATTTGAATTGACACTTGCGTCTCTGTTCTGTTGCTGTACGGCAACCTGGACTGATGTACGTACGTACGTACGTACGAAGTTCTACGTTGTAACTGACTGACTGGCTGAAGAATTTTAACTTTGAAGACTTCATTGATTGTTCACCTACTACTTACTACACAGCAGAAAATGAAAATCAATCATTTCAACTATTTCATTGAACACATACCTAAAAAAAGTCAAAATCCCGCGAAATTTTTGTTTATTCAAATGTCAATTTGAATGCCTTATAACTAACTGTTCATTATTATTTCATTGTAAAAGTGTTTTTTTTAACGAATGATTCTCTCACTCTGTCACTTTCTGTTTCTGTTTGTTTTTTTTTCTTTCTAAAATCAGTTTTTATTCATATTGAAAAATTCAAAATATCATGATTTTTTTTATCAAACACTAATTGGACGTTTGATCAGTAGTGTATGCGGTAAACTACATGTGTATTTTCTCCTGTCTAGTCCAATGGTAGCATTTTATTTGTTGAAATTTCATTTATGGTTTCCTGTAAGTTAATAATTTTAATTCTGTATTTTTTTCTTGTTGTTGTTGTTAAACGATTACAAAATTATGAAGATCAGATGTTTTGACATGTTGAAATTATCAATCAGTCATTGTTAGACCGGTGCTGATAGAAAGAAACCTGGTGGAAGGATGCACAAGATAGCCGTCGCATCCTGTCTGGTATGGGGCAACTCATCAGTGCAGTGGCAGTCAGTCAGTCAGTTACGGGTATGAGGGCGGTTATCACTTCCCGGCTACCGACACCGAGGAAGGTTGTTTCTTGAGGGACTTGAAAAGGAAGATAGATTAGTGTTGGTCTTGGAGACCTGGGTGCGTGACCGCAGAGTCCAAGGGACAACTGCTTGAGACCGGTCATGCACGGCCTTTTTATGAAGTTATTTTTGAGGATTAGCTCCGTTCTTAAAGGCCCTTAGTGGGCACCCTTACCGACGGAGACGGAAATCCGTGTGGCAAGGTGAGGTGTGACATTTTTAGGGTCGACCTTTCCTAATCCTTCTTTCCTTGTGAGAAGGCAGCATCGCTGCAGATGCTGGTTGTCTGGGGGAAACACCTTACTGCTGTCATACCTCTCTGCAGTAGGCAGTACGACTTCGCCCTGAGATCTTGAGTAGCTGCTTTTAGTCTCATCGTTCTCTAATCGACCTGCCTGGCATGGTAGAACCTTCAGGAACATATGTTCCAGCCAATATAGCTCGGTTGGGTCATCACGATACGCAAGCCTGACCACCACGTCAAGGTAGCAGCTTCGGTCGGGGTCAGCGGCAGTGCGCATTCACGACTCCTGCATCTCGCAGGGGTTGGAACCCAAGACCTTTGATCTTGCATGTGGGGATGCTTTTAACCTCTGAATCACTGACCCAGCCGGCATCCAATGGTGTTAATGTTTAAATCTGATCAGTCTAGAGATTTTGCGCGATCTCATCCATTTATCGGTCCTGGGTAGTTACTGCCTACACCGTACAAAGTTGAACTTCACTGTTCACATCCTATCACTAGAACTTCGAGAATTTCCTCATGAGGTTGGTCACAGGTGTGCTCACGGCGACTCAATGCTTCCAGGTTTCGAATTAGGGTCTAACAATGATTGATTGATGACTTTCAAATTATCAAATAATAATCGATTCTTGTTAATCGAGCTGAAAATAACGTGTTGTGTCCTCTCTTATCAGTGATTGGTCAGCGTCTAAATAAACAGCTTCAGCCGCACAAGTTACCACATACAGAATCTTAAGGCTTCATAATGATCATAATCTCTTTAAATATAACTAGTTCTAGGTTCGTTGATTAATATTGACAGTTTATACGTTCTCACAATCAATGAAAGTTGCATTCTTTATCCGATATGGATCATTTATGGAGCTATTTGTATCGGAGACGTTACCCTACGTCGTTGGTGACAGCCACATAATAAAATAGCCTACTTAAAATAATTCATTGACAAATGACCGTCAAAGATTTCCTGAGTGGAAAAAAACAAGGTGAAAGTCAAAATAAGCGTCTTTGGCGCGAAAACATCAAATTCAAAATTTCAAAATAAAATTACAAAATTAGGACCTTTTACAAGTGAGTTCTGGAGATTGAACATCCCCAACACCTGTGCTTGTTAGTAGCGTACGTTCTTGTAGTCAACTTGCAACTGGACTGTTGTTCGCCACTGTCGTAATATGACAGTTGAAACTGGTACATTTTGTGTACATTAAGCTCTACATTTCGTATGACTTACTGACTGATACGTATGTTAGGATATTCATCCAATTTTCTAAGAGAATTATTGGTCAAAATTATGGTCGTTTTAACTGTCATAGTCAAATACTTCAATGTTGTGTCTTCTTATTGGTCATCCGGAATGTCAATGTTATTTCAAATGTTCTTTCTTATTGGTTGTCTTGACTATCAATGTCACTTCAAATGTTACTCTTCCTATTGGTCGTCTTAACTGTCAATGTCACAGAATTCGATGCTGTTTCCTATTCGACCAAAATATATAAATACGCATTATCTGTGACATTTTATGATCACGACCAGGACCAGGGCTGAGTTACGGATCCCTAGTCCGGGATCCTGATTCTCTTCTGGATTCGGACTTCGTGCTTTCTGGATGCTTTTAGAATACAGGTTCTACTTCATATCACGACTTATTTTTACTAAATATGGGGATAGGGATAATCGGATTTAAATAGCATGTCGTGTCGTCGGATCCTCTATCCTCACTCTCGTTTTCTGACTCGGCAAACTCGCAGCAGTTCAAGTATATCAAGTTGACGTGTTTACATGCAGGCGTAACAATGTACGCCTAACAATTACTGACTGCCTCAACGAGCAATGTTTTATGTTGTAGGACGGTAGGTTGGAAGAAAGCCAGGTGTGACCAAAGCAAAACATGGCACAAATCTTTGTAGTCACTGACAAGATTTAAAATGGCAATTACATCTCTGTGCTCCTGTGATCTGACAATTTGAACTGCTTTACGTACGTACGTACTTACTCATTAAAATCGGAAAACCATATCGTAAATCGTTAATTTGCAAAATATCAGTTTATCATATCGAACTGGACTGTTCCTGTTGCAAAACATCAATCCATTGTCACTGTTCATGCGTTTCATACAAATTCCATTGTGTTCTAACTCTTCCTTTCTTGATCTTCCCCATCTTCTGCTTCCAGACATTACGTTGACACTCACGTCATATACTACTTATAAGTAGCTCACACCACACTCGTCCCCCCTTTTAATAAGCTGTCGTCGTAATCTTTCAAAACAGAGACCCTGGTCAGTTAATATCACCTTCCGTATCCTGTGACACGCTACAATATGCCGGATTACCACTTCGGTCATTGTTCTTGCCTGCTGGTCTGGAATGGATACGGCATCTATCCAACGTGTAGCGTTTACTAGTTCCCGCTGCTGGGACACGACAGCAGGCACACTCTCGATAAATTTTGACGCCAACAACAATGCCCGCGACTCCTCATCCATACTGAGCAGCGTACGGCGCAGCAACATCGTGAGCTCCACAGCCAGCACCAACGGGTCACCATCAGCCGACAGCCTCGCCAACCGGAACCTCTGCGGCGCCTCCTCCCTATCCACTGGGCTGTCGAACTCCGTCATCAGCCGCCCGGTGACCGTCTCCCACTCCGTCTTCCCGGCGGCACCGTCCAGGCTGTCGTATACCGCCTTCGCCTCACCTCCCCGCAGCGTACGTACGTACCAAGTTCTACGTTGTAACTAACTGACTAATTGATTTAAATTTGTTTTTATTCTATTCACTTTTGTTTTTATATTTATTATTCAGGTATTGAAATCAGTTTATTTCATTGGATTATGGTATATATTTTGGCCATTAATAAAACCAATGGTTAAATATCTACTACCATCATCAAAAACATCGTCACCACAATTATCAACAATGCAAACATCGGAATCATCATCTCAACTATCAGTGACAACCAATGGTGATGTGATTTCCGTCGTTGATCAACACCAACTGCAGCACCAGTTATCTTCCAAAAAACAACAATGATATACTATTGGTTCAACCCCTCTATAAAAAAGAAAACGATTACGCGTGTACATATCAATGTGAATATATAGATAGATAGATGGATATATTATGTATGTATGATCTAGAGAAACGCTCAAACTGTTGCCTCTTGTTGTGCCTTTCTACCACTACTACTCACACTACCACTACTACTATTACTACTAATACTAAATTTCAAGGGTAAACAAATCAACCTCAGTCATTCATAGTTTCTGTTTTACATTCACAAAATCTATCGATACATATCCATATATAAGTGTGTGTGTGTGTGCGTGTGTGTTAGTACACTTCATTCGAACATTTATTTCTCTTTCATACATAGTCTCTAAATGACACCATATGGACTAGAATGAACTTATTTCTTGTTCTGTGTTAACATTGTTCACACAAGTTTTTCCGTTTGTCTGTTTGTTGGTTTGTTTGTTCAAATTTTGTTCTACTCCAAAAATCACAACAATCCATATCACATTATCTATAGATGATTGTTACAGTACCTTTTTTTAAATATGATTATTATTATCATTGTTGTTGCCTTTTTGTACGTTCTTCTATTCTACTCTGTTCTGTTCTATTGTGATAAATATTCATGTATGCGGGGGCGATATACACACTACAAACCGTCCTCTGTATGTGTACACCTACTATTGTTACTACTAATTCGTCGACGACTCCTTGAACTACTACTACTACTACTGCTACCACGACTACTACTACTACTACTACTCCGACTATTGTTGTGTATGTCTTTTTTCTGATTATTTAACAACTACTACTACGTCGATGACTACTCCAGCTACTACTACCACTACTACCCCGACTGCTACTCACTTTACTACAATTACTACTTCGCTGACTACTACTGCTACCCCGACTACTACTACTACTACTCCGACTAATGTTGTGTATGTCTTTTCTCTGATTATTTAACAACTATTACTACTACACTGACTGCTACTACAACTACTACGTCGACGACTACTCGAACTACGACTACTACTAACACTACTACTACTACTACAATTACTACTACTGCTACCACGACTACTATTACTCCGACTACTGTTGTGTATATCTTTTTTCTGATTATTTAACAACTACTACTCCGACTGCTACTACTACTACCACGACTACTACTCCGACTACTGTTGTGTATGTATTTTCTCTGATTATTTTCCAATCGATTGTATTGTTTGGTAATGAGTGTGCGTGTTTTTTTTTTTCGTGCAACGATTCATTTCATTGGCCCTCACTTTTGTCTTGCTGGGTTCTTTACTTTTCCCTGAGTAATCATCTATATCTACATTGGACTGTTCACTTTTATTGACACTTCTTTCTGTTTTTTTTGCTCTATCCTTCCTAATATGTGATATATATATATATATATATATATATATATATATATATATATATATATATATATATATATATATTGTAAATTATTATTGACTAACGGACTGACTGACTGACTACTACTACTAGTAGTATTAGTAGTAGTACTAGAGAGTTATTATGACGAGGATACAATTTTATCAACATGTATAGCAGATTTTTCTAATTTTTCAAATATTCTATATATATAATGTATACGTATGTGTATTCAAACGTACGTCCGGATATCAATTGATTTCTGTTATTGTTTGATGGTTATATATATATATTACTGAATACCCTTTTATATTGTTACCTATGAAAGATAGTACAAAGTTGGGAAGTGTAAATGGTAGGCTGTTTTTGATTTGCAAAATTCCGATACATTTGTCTGAATGTCGATTTATGGAGATTGTTGTTTTTATAACTGATCATCACCTGGAACACATCCATGACTCTTGCACCTCGCAGTATTTGAGTCGGGGACCTTCGGTCTTGTGCGCGGACGCCTAACCTCTGGACCACTGAGTTGGTCGGCATTCAACGGTGTTCATGTTTGACTCCGATCAATCTAGGGAATTTTCGCATGGCTCCACTCATTTATTTGTCATTGGTATTTACTGCCTACACACCAGATAGGGTTTGAACTCCATTGGTCACGTTGTAGTGAATGAGAACACATGTGGGGCAACCGAACTGCATTTAACGAAAATTTCAGAGTTACTCAGTAAAATCGGAAAACCATATCGTAAATCGTTAATTTGCAAAATATCAGTTCATCATATCGAACTGGACTGTTCCTGTTGCAAACAACATCAATCCATTGTCACTGTTCATGCGTATTATACAAATTCCATTGTGTTCTAACTCTTCGTTTCTTGATCTTCCCCCATCTTTTGCTGCCAGATATTACGTTGACACTCACGTCATATACTACTTATAAGTAGCTCGCACCACAACGTCTTCTCACTAGAACTCTGAGAATTTTCTTACGAAGCTAGTCGCTTGTGAGCACATTGTACGATTCTCATCATAGAGTTTTGCAGATTGATGTTTATTACTGAAAACATGAATAATTGTGAAATGTAATATATTTTATCTATTTGAAGAATTCGTTATCATATACGTTGTGAGGTTATCTGGTGATCTATAGATTGACGTATATATGTTATTTTATAAGTATGATGGAAATTATCATGGTTCATGTTTGTTCGCTAAAACATTTCATTATTTTTGTTCAAACTTTAATGAGTCAATCCACGTAGCTGGACGTTTATGTGACCTGTATATGTGTTGTGCTCGTCAGTTGATATGCTTGAACTTATTACAAGTTCATCTTACTCAGTAAACGGATCGCAGATAAATGATGCAGTGACACGATAGATTATTCTGATCCATTGTCCCCGACCCCATTAACTATATCAAAAAGTCTTGATATGGTATAGAAAGTGTATTCTACAAGCACACAAATCGAGTTTATTTGTGCGTGATAGAAACGTCCCTGGGAGAGCCACAAAAATAGCATACTAAAATAACACATCAACCAATGACAGCCAAGGATTTTCCGGGTTGGAAATGTCATCTCAAGGTCAACCGATCAGTACATGTGCGAAAGCATAAAATCCAAAGTTAGGACCTTTATCAAGTGAGTTCTGGGGATCTAACGTCCCCAACAATATGAATCATTACTTCGTTAATCAATTACGTCGTCATAGGACGTATTACACCATTCAGTCAGTCGGTTTTGGTTACTGTTTAAGCAAAGACTATTTGCTCAACGAATACCAGGAACCTGGATGTGTATGTATAGACCAAATACATACTGTTCGTTAGTTCCTGGAACATAGACACACATTTTGGCGTTCCACTATAAGTCGTATTCCTTGACCTAACGACGGCATTCTGCTTTGTCGATCGTGGGGTTCTGTGTCTGTACCTGTCATCGGAAGGTGCACCTAAGAAATGAATTCGCCTTATACAAGCTCCCTATTTGAACATTAGTGGTCGATTGAGAGCTTAAGGGGCTCTGTCATCTGAATTCATTACTTCGAGTGATGTTCGTCACGGTTGTCCACTTTCTCGATTCTAGTTTAACTATGTTAAAGACATGCTTTTACAGATAACATTATCTTCCTATAAATTTTCAAGGGTAGACTATCTACGAGGACATTCGCTTGTTGACTTAAAATATGCCGATGACATAGTTCTATTTGGCGAAAATACTAACGAAATGCAGAGTCTTCTGAACGCGTTAATCAATAATGCAAGCATGTTTGAGGTGCAGTTCTTCCACTCGAAATGCAAAATTTCACTAACCAGAGGACCGGACTACTACGCAACAGTTCGCTCCGTCCTACTATGTGGATGAGAAACACGGCCAGTAGGAGTTGAGGATATTCGTCGGTTACTAGTATTTAACCATAGGTGTCTTCCAATCATCCCTCGTATATCCTGGGACAACTGAGTAAGTAATACTGTTCTCAGGAATCGAGTACTAAGTAAGGATAGCAGATCAATAGTTGAAGAAATGAAACCTCATCAGTTGAGGTGGTTGGGATATGTGTTACGTATGCCCAACCACCGACTACCTCGACGAGCTATGTTTTGTAGTGAACGGGTAGGTTGGAAGAAACCTAGGGGCGGCCTAAACATGGCATAAATCCTTAGTCACTGACAAGTGAACTGAGCCATGTTGATTGTTGTAGATTACCTGATTAAGGTCCGCGAGGTGAAAGAAACCGATGGTTAGATACTTTGAATGACATGGCTCAAAATCGTTTACAATGAGACTGGTGTATCCATTATTTGTGTTCTCTCCATTCCTAATCTCCGCTAAATTCCTTGTCACCTTTATCTTCCTCTTTTCAAGTTTATTTCACTAGATTATAATAATACTTCTTGAATAATATCTTCAAACTCTAATCTTCTCCATTACTGTTAGTACTTCTACTCTACCTCTATTACAATGCGATTTGAATTGACAATTACACCATCTCTGTGTGTCAGTGTGGTACGGCAAAAAATATATATCTCTATTCAACTTGTTAGCCTAATCAAAAAAAAAGAAATTCTGTTTACATCACGGGGTTGTTGTGAAGATTGGCAAGTTTTATTTGAAACCATGAATCGATCAATGTTAGACCACTCCATTAGAAACCTGGAAGACGGCCGTTTCGTCCTGGTATGGGACTACTCATCAGTGGCAGTGCGCATCCACGACTCCTGCACCTCGCAGGATTCGAAGCCGGGACCTTCGGTATTGTAGTCGAATGCCTAACCGCACTGATGAGGAGTAGTCCCATACCAGGACGAAACGGCCGTCTTTCAGTGCTTCCAGGTTTCTAATGGAGTGGTCTAATAATGATTGATTGATGATTTCAAATGTGTGAAAACGCAAACCTCCGAAACTCTCCCCCAAAATATCGTAACAGTGTTCACTAGTGACTAGCTTCGTGAGGAAATTCTCGGAGTTCTAGTTGAGAAGACGTGACTAATGGAGTTCAATCCTATCGGGTGTAGGCAGTAACTAACAAAGACAAATGGGTGAGGTCGCGCAAAATCCATAGATCAACCAGAGTTAGACATTACCACTGTTGGGTGCTGGCCAGCTCAGTGGTCCGACGGTAAGGCGTTCGCGCACAATATCGAAGGTCCTGGGTTCGAATCCCCCGAGGTGCATGAGTCGTGGATGCGCACTGCCACTGATGAGTCCCATACCAGGACGAAACGGCCGTGTTTCAGTGCTTCCAAGTTTCTATTGGAGTGGTCTAACATTGATCGATTCATGGTTTCAAATAAAATTCTGTTTTTAAAATTAAATCAAAACCTTCTATTTTATAATCATCACACCTATAAAAATTAACTGGAATGCAACACTGGATATCACTTGAACTTGTTTCGTTTTGTTTTTTTAATGTTAAAAGGTTTAATTATCATGCTATGAAAGATTGATTAGGGAAGGAATGTAGTGTAGTGACATTCCATTCACAATGACTTCTATTCTATTAGGGTTGATTAAAGAAGAATGCACTATTATTATTATTATTATTATTATATCAGTGATTATCTTTTGTTTAGAGAAAAAAGTACAACTCTGAACATAAGTTAAGCACATCGGATTAAAAAAAAAAAAATAAGGTCATGCATGATTAATTGTCTTCTGTCAGTTCAACACATTCCTTAATTAATATGATTACAAATCACAATGTGGATGAGCTTTTGGTATAATTTTTTGTTCCTTGTCAGCTGCTTTATTATTTTTGATTTCGGTCATTGGCTGTGTTTAGAATTTTCATGATTACAGTATAGTCGGTTGTGTGACAT